AGGAAGGGTCGGCGAAACCTGCGGCCGTTGAGAGCGTGGCCACAGGTTAAGCTGGTGAGCAGCGTAGCGAACAGCGAACGACCACAGAAAATGGGGGGCATCGGCATGAATCATGGAGGTACGGGCGACCTCCATGACCAAGCCGATGCGGCGCTCAGCAACCCCATTCTGCTGTGGGGAGTCCGGCAAGGTGTACGACTGGGTGATGCCCTCCGCACGACAGAACTGTCCAAGCCGACCAGAGGCGAACTCGCCGCCCCGGTCGGAGTGGAGACACAACACGGGGAGACCGCGGTGGAGACGCGCAGCCACAACCCACGGGAGAAGAACGTCGGGCACATCAGCCTTCCGCTCGAGGGGAAACACCGTGGTGTAGCGCGTGTAGTCGTCGACGAGCACAAGGAAGTAGCGCTCACCGCGCGGTCCGGGGACGGGGGCAGGGCCCCAAACGTCCAGGTGCAGGGTCTGAAGGGGGGCAGTAGCAGGGCGCAGCGAGGAGGAGTGAGGGGCACGGCGGAGCCGGCCCTCGACGCAAGGCGTGCACGGTGGCGCAGTCGAGGGAGGAAGGGCGGGGAGCGACACAGGGAGACCTAAGACAAGGCCGTGCTGGGACATGTGACGCAGACGAGGGAGAGCAGGGTGACCTAAGCGGTGGTGCTAGAGAAGGGACGGGTGAGTGAGGGAACGACACGAGCAAGCTGCAGCAACCTGGGAGGATGCACCAACCGGAGGGGAGGCGGTGTCTAGGGTAAACAGACCGGACACCGGGTCCCTGGGGAACGTCGCAAGGGGGGAACCTGAGACAGCCTCAGAACAGACAGCGAACCGCTCGTGCCCGGGGAACGTGGTGGTGACGCCGAGGTCCTGGAGACAGCCGACACCAACCAGGTTCCTCGAGAATGAGGGAACGTGGAGGCCTGTAAGGGAGCCCGAGGGAACGGCTGGACAGGGAAGGGACATAGAACTGCGAGCGACGACAGGACCCGCAGAGGGGTCGGCGAGAGAGACGACAGCTGGCGTAGCAAGCGGCGTAAGTGCGGAACGGTCGCGGAAGAAGCAGGCAGAAGCACCGGAGTCGAGAGTGAAGTACAGCGCAGCAGTGGCAGGGGCGGGGAACGGAGCCGGTGCAGAGACGAGGCTAGACAAACTAGGCAGTCCTACGCCTGACGCAGCAGGGGAGGCTAGGCTACACAACGGTGCAACACCTAAACTAGAGAACACAGGATAATAAGATCCAGCAACACTAGCAGCGTCAGAATACATGGCATGCAAAGCAACACCTATCTGATCCATGTCTAACTCAAAGATCGGCACGCCCTGGCGGAGCAGGCTGTGCCAGTCGGGGAGGTCCGGGGCCGGGCCAAAGCGACGACGAAACAGATCGTCGAGGCGGCGGAAACAGCGGGCAGTCGGGTGCGGGCGGCGGCACAGAGTGCCGCGAAGGGGCCCGGTCTGAAGCTGGTACTGACAGGTGACAGTACCGGAGCCGCTGGTAGACGCCAAGCTGCGCGGGCCGCCACCACTGCCACCACCCCGGGAGGAGCCGGGCCAAACAGGCGGGAGGCGAGCCCACTGCTGCGGGGGCTGCGGCGGGGACGACGGCTGCTGCTGGGACGGCGGCTGCGGCGCGGGCTGCTCCTGCTGCGGCTGGGGCTGCTGCTCCTGACCACCAATGCTAGTCCCCCCAGACGGACTACGCTCACGACCACCAGCACCACTACCTGCACCACCACCCCTACCACCCTGGCGACCCCGGCCACTGCGGCGCGAGCGCTGCTGCGGGTGGACCGCAGCAGCCGTCTCGGTGAGAGGGGTCGCCGTGGCGACCGCAGCCGAAACGTTAGTGAACGTGCACTGGGAGGGGGCACAGCCGTGAAAGATAGAGACTGCCGGCGCACCGCTCGACTGAGCGATAGTGCGTTGGCGAGTCTCGATCTCGGTGAGGGTGTCGACAAAGGCAGTGAGAGTGAGGTCAGCCGGGTGCAGGCTAAGGAAGTGATCGCGAGCACTAGCGAGGCGGTCTGGCAGGCGCATGGCAATAAAATAGAGCGTCATGCAGAAAGGGGGGGGGAGCGCAGTGAGCTGGGCAGCAGTGCTGGCAGTGCGATAGCGGGTCTCTAGAGCACGCAGGTGAGTGGCAAAGTCTGCGATGGTAGGGAAAGCTGCAAGCTCTGGGAAAAGCATAGGGAAGAGCAGGCGACCAGCAGAAGCAGACGCGGGTGTGGAATAGCGGGCAATAACAGCGTCTAAGTAAGCTTTGGCCGTCTCAATAGTAGCAAAACGCAAGCGCTCAGAGACAGGAAGCGCATGGCTAATGGCTACCTGAGCGACTGCATCGCGGGAGTCCCAGACCGCACGGGCAAGTGCAGTAGTAGAGAAGGTCTCACGGTCATCAGAGGAGGGATCAGCAGGGAGGGGGGCAGGTACAGGGGGGCGGGGGAGCAAGCCGTCAACATGGACAACCAAAGAGTGGCCATCCTGACGCTGACCTGTGAGGTGGCGGCGGAGATCGGAGAGCCAGGCGGCGGAGATCGGAGAGCCAGGCGGCGAAGATCGGAGAGCCAGGCGGCGGAGATCGGAGAGCCAGGCGGCGGAGATCGGAGAGCCAGGCGGCGGAGATCGGAGAGCCAGGCGGCGAAGTCAACCGCATGGCCCTCAGCGTCCAATCGGAGCACGAAGTCCGCCATCGTGCAGGGTCAGCGGCACAGCTCCACAGGAACTCAGCTACAGCCCCCTCGAGCACAGTGGCCATGAAGCGCCTCAGCACGGGCGAGCGGAGGAGACGGAGCCCGAGGCGGCACAGCAGGACGAGCCGGGGCGAAAGGGGCAGGCAGGGACGGTGGGGCTAGGCAGGCATGGCAGGGCCAGGCAGGCATGGCAGGGCCAGGCAGGCGCGGCGGGCCAGTCAGTGGCGGCGGGGCCAGGAGGCACGGCGGGGCCAGAAGGCGCGGCGGGGCCAGGCAGGTGCGGTGGGGCCAGGGAGGCGCGGCTGGGCCAGGCAGGCGCGGCGGGCCAGCCAGGGGCGGCGGGGCCAGGAGGGGCGGCGGGGCCAGGAGGCGCGGCAGGGCCAGGAAGGCGCGGTGGGGCCAGGAAGGCGCGGCGGGGCCAGGAGGCCCGGCAGGGCCAGGAAGGCGCGGCAGGGCCAGGCAGTGCGGCGGGGCCAGGCTGGAGCGGCGGGGCCAGAAGACGCGGCGAGGCCAGGCAGGTGTGGCGGGGCCAGGCAGTGCGGCAGGGCCAGGCAGGCGCGGCGGGGCCAGAAGGCGCGGCGGGGCCAGAAGGCGCGGCAGGGCCAGGCAGGCGCGGCGGGCCAGTCAGGGGCGTCGGGGCTAGGAGGCGCGGCAGAGCCGGGCAGGCGCGGCGGGGCCAGAAGGCGCGGCGGGGCCAAGCAGGTGCGGCGGGGCCAGGCAGGCGCGGCAGGGCCTGGCAGGCGCGGCAGGGCCTGGCAGGCGCGGCAGGGCCTGGCAGGCGCGGCAGGGCCTGGCAGGCGCGGCAGGGCCTGGCAGGTGCGGCAGTGCCAGGCAGGCGCGATGGGGCCAGGAGACACGGCAGGGCCAGGCAGGCGCGACGGGGCCAGGCAGGCGCGGCGGGGCCAGGCAGCGCGGCGAGGGCCAGGCAGGCTCGACGGGGCTAGGCAGGCACAACGGGGCCAGGCAGGTGCAACGGGGTCGAGGAGGCACGAGGGGCCCAGGAGGGGCGTGACGGGGCCTAGGCAGCGCGATGGGGCCCAGGGGGGGCGCGACGGGGCCTAGGAGGCACGATGGGGCCTAGGAGGCACGATGGGGCCTAGGAGGCACGATGGGGCCTAGGAGGCACGATGGGGCCTAGGAGGCACGATGGGGCCTAGGAGGCACGATGGGGCCTAGGAGGCACGATGGGGCCTAGGAGGCACGATGGGGCCTAGGAGGCACGATGGGGCCTAGGAGGCACGATGGGGCCTAGGAGGCACGATGGGGCCTAGGAGGCACGATGGGGCCTAGGAGGCACGATGGGGCCTAGGAGGCACGATGGGGCCTAGGAGGCACGATGGGGCCTAGGAGGCACGATGGGGCCTAGGAGGCACGATGGGGCCTAGGAGGCACGATGGGGCCTAGGAGGCACGATGGGGCCTAGGAGGCACGATGGGGCCTAGGAGGCACGATGGGGCCTAGGAGGCACGATGGGGCCTAGGAGGCACGATGGGGCCTAGGAGGCACGATGGGGCCTAGGAGGCACGATGGGGCCTAGGAGGCACGATGGGGCCTAGGAGGCACGATGGGGCCTAGGAGGCACGATGGGGCCTAGGAGGCACGATGGGGCCTAGGAGGCACGATGGGGCCTAGGAGGCACGATGGGGCCTAGGAGGCACGATGGGGCCTAGGAGGCACGATGGGGCCTAGGAGGCACGATGGGGCCTAGGAGGCACGATGGGGCCTAGGAGGCACGATGGGGCCTAGGAGGCACGATGGGGCCTAGGAGGCACGATGGGGCCTAGGAGGCACGATGGGGCCTAGGAGGCACGATGGGGCCTAGGAGGCACGATGGGGCCCAGGGGGGCGCGACGGGACCTACGGGGCACGAAGGGGGCCAAGGAGGGGCGCGACGGGGCCTAGGCAGCACGATGGGGCCCAGGGGGGCGCGACGGGGCCTAGGAGGCGCGATGGAGCCCAGGGGGGCGCGACGAGGCCTAAGAGGCACGATGGGGCCCAGGGGGGCGCGACGGGGCCTACGGGGCACGAAGGGGCCCAGGAGGGGCGCGACGGGGCCTAGGCAGCGCGATGGGGCCCAGGGGGGGCGCGACGGGGCCTAGGCAGCGCGATGGGGCCTAGGCAGCGCGATGGGGCCCAGGGGGGCGCGACGGGACCTAGGCAGCGCGGTGGGGCCCAGGGGGGCGCGACGGGGCCTAGGAGGAACAGAGGGGGTGGCGGGTCCTAGGAGGCACGGGCAGAAGCGGTAGGTGGAGGGGAACCAACCTACGGGTGATACCATCTCAAAGAAAAACTGAATGATTGGATAGAGGGAGAGAACAAGTGTATATACCTAAGAGTGCTGTACCCTCTAAGAGGTGACCCTATACAGTCTATACAAATATGAGTTATACATATATTTGACACCTCGAACATCGACACTACAGAATGTAATATGTCATGTCACTCGGTTTCACTGTACCGAGCCCAATAATATCCGCTATAAAACATATTCTCGACTATGCGAGCATGTGTGCAATGCTCCGACACACATAAGCGAGTTTCCAGGAGATTGCATGCACCGAACCCCGTGTTTTGTCATTAAATCCACAACACTGCGTCTGTAGTGTGTACGGTATACATCTACTCAACTGGGTTCTTCTTCCCCCATCTTGCTTGGGTTTCTAGCCCGCTACAACTAAACTGCTTCTCCTACAACTCACCCCAGCCAGGTAATCGTGCTTCGACCTCCTCCACCCCCCACGCCCTTCCTGATGCTTATCGCCTCCCCCTCATAGTGCCTCTGCAGCCGCTCGAAGGCCGTCACATCCAGCCGCCCCCCTGCCCCCCTGCTCGCCCCGTGCTTCCTCTCGTGCTGCTGCTGCTTCACACTGCCCCAGAACGCCTCGATCGCTGCCTGCTGCCGGGCCGTGAAGCGTTTCCTGTGGTCATAGGCGTGTTGGGCCAGCATGTCGATGGCTGTCTGCGCCCTGCAGGGGAGGGGAGAGTGAGGGAAGATGACATTATGAGGCGCCTCCAACACACGCCCCCCCAGCGCCTCCATTGCTGCCCGCTGCCGGGCTTTGGTGGTCATTTGCGTGCAGAGCCAGCATGGCCATGGCTGTGTGCGCCCTGAGGGGAAGGGAGAAGGGGGGGCAGGGCACCAGGATGCTCGGGCGCTTGCACATGTATAAAAGTGGAGCAGTGTTACTGCCGTCTGTCGTCATAGGCGTGCCGAGCCAGCTAGTTGATGAGCCAGCAGGGTTAGTGTCTGCGCCCTGCGTGGGGAGGAGGAAGGGGGGAGGAGAGGAGGCAGGGACAAGGAAGGGAGGGGAGAGGCTGGCAGGGAACACACGAGGCGAGCTCTCATCATATGGCATTGTCAACAAGCGAGATACTCACAGCACGTTATGTAACAGCACTCATGCCTTGCAGGGTATTTTTGAGAATTCTTAAAAATACCCAACAAACGAGATAATCACATCATGTAACAGCACTCACACCTTGCGTTTGACTCTCAGCAACATGTGCACGTTGTGGGGTTTTCAAGCACAACCTTTGAGGCGCCTCAAAAGGTTTTCAAGCACACTCAACCCTTGTGCCCATGAACATATGGCGCTCACCACTTGTGCACACCAGCATTTCGTGCCCACACACACCACTCGTGCCCACACACACTCACCACTTGTGCCTGTACATCTCGGTGGCCGTCTGAATGCACAGCAGCAGCGCCTCCCTCCTCTCCCTCAACAACCCCCTCTCCTCCTCCTCCCCTCGCCGCCTCTCCTCCTCCTCCTCCCTCCTCCTCCTCTCCCTCTCCTCCCTCCTCTCCTCTCTCCTCTCCTCTCTCGTCGCCCTCTTCCTCTCTATCATCTCTCCCAGCCCGAATGGATCCTCCTGCTCCTCCTCCTCTCCCTCTCCCTTTCCTCCTTCTCCCCCTCCCACTCCCCCACTCATCCCCAACATAGCATCAAGGCCAAAGGGATCTGCACCATCAGCAGGATCTGCACCGCCTACCGCACCATCTACTGCACCATCTACTGCACCATGTAGGCCAAAGGGATCATTGCCTCTCTTTCCTTTCTTATCCTCCTCCCCCTCCTCTCCACCCCCCACTCCCCTCTCCCCCTCGCCTCCACTGCCCCCTCCCCCATCCACTGCCCCCTGACAATCTTCCCCCTTGCGTTCCGCACCCCTTTGCCCCTTCTCTCCTTCGATCTCTCCCTGCTTCTCTCCCTCCATCCCCCTCTCCCTCCCCTCCACTTGCATCGCCACCCCACGGAACACACCGGCCTCCTCCCTCTCATCCTCCTCTACTGCTTCAGGTAGTTGCTCCACCTGCTGCTGGACTCGAGACACAGCCTTGGAGAACTGGAGGGGCGGGGGAGGAGGAGGGGGATGGAGCAGGGCGGCAGAGAAGCAGTGAGGGCAGGAACGAGCTTCTGGTGATTTCTACCCCACGGAACACACCGGCCTCCTCCCTCTCATCCTCCTCTGCTGCTTCTGGTAGTTGCTCCACCTGCTGCTGCACTCGAGATACAGCCTTGGAGAACTGGCGGGGTAAGGAAGGCGGGGGGATGGAGCCGAGGGGTGGGGAGAAACAGCGGGGGTAGGGACGGGGGGAACATCGCTTTGGGTAGTTTGTTCGACCTGCTGCTGCACTGGAGATACAGCCTTGGCGAACTGGAGGGGGCCAGGGGGGGGGTGGGGGGAGAGGTAAAGAGGACGGGTGAAGGTAAAGAGGAGGGGAGAGGGTCAAGAGGAGGAGAGGGGAAGGGTGCGCAGGCAACTCACGGTCAAAACGGATGTGACAAGAGCCTACCGCCTTGATCACCGCCTCAAAGCTGTCGGCCGTCCCGAGGGAGCGGTTGAGCACAGTGCACAGACCCCATACCTCTTTAGAAGTACCCCCATCCACAGTCACTCAAGCCCCACCTGCTGCCCCAGCTGGCAGCCCCACCTGGCAGCCCCACCTGGCAGCCCCACCTGGCAGCCCCACCTGGCAACCCCACCTGGCAGCCCCACCTGGCAGCCCCACCTGGCAACCCCACCTGGCAGCCCCACCTGCTGCCCCACCTGCTGGCCCCACCCCACCTGGAAGCTGTCGTCTGTTCGCAGGGAGTTGTTGAGCGCGGTGCGCAGCCCCCACACGTCCACCTGCTGCTGCTGGCGCGGCGAGAAGAGCTGCAGGGAGCAGTATGGGGGCGAGCAGGGGGGAAGGGGGGGGGATCAGGGTGTACGCTTGGAGGTGTGGCGCGCCGCCCCCACACGCCCACCTGCTGCTGCTGCCACGGCGAGAAGTGCTGCGGGGAAGGGAGTAGTATGGGGGCGAGCAGAGGGGGTTGGATTTGAGGTTGCAAGGAGGGGGGGAGGGGAGACGGAGAGAGGAAGAGGAGGGGGGTATGTGCAATTTACTCCTATTCTCTCAGGCCCTCACCACCACACAAGGAGCCCGAACACACAACTGCAATCACATCCCTGCTTTCCCCTTCGCCCTCCGCCTCTCTCCCCCTCTCTTCCCCTCCCACCTCCCCCTGATGCCTTTCTCCACCCTTTCCGCCTTCACCCCCCACCCCCCCCCCGTTTCTCTCTTCCTGCCTCTCATCCACTCACGTCCTTCCTCTCCTGTGCAGCAGCAAACAGCCCTTCCACTTCATAGTCCCCTCTCACGCCCCCCGCTGCCTTCATCTTCCCTCCCCTTTCACTCGTGCTGCCTCGCATCGCATCTCACGTCCTGCATCTCATCCACGCACCTCCTTTCTCTCCTGTGCAGCCGCAAACAGCGCTTCATACTCCCCCCCCACGTCCCCCGCTGCCCCCACCACCATGCCACCCGCCCCGCCCCCCTCGCGCCTCAGCAGCGCCATTGCCCCTTGCAACACGCCAAAGAACTGAGCCGCATGGGTACTGTTCACTGCACTGTTCATGCCGGTTTGGTCACTGTTCAGTGCGCCGCCCTCCAGAAGCTGCCGAGCGAGGCCGGCCGCCTTCTTGAACTTGGCCGGCGTGCCAATGTGGGCAGCGATCTTGGCGATTGCCGACGTCACCTTGTCCTCTGCCACCTCAGCAAACGTGTGGAAGCGCACCCGGCGGCGAGATGGGGCTGGGGAAGGGGAGGGGGTGGGTGGGGGAGAGACGATAGAAGACAGGGGAAGGGGAGGGGAGGGGAGGGGAGGGGAGGGGAGGGGAGGGGAGGGGAGGGGAGGGGGTGCGTGGGGAAGGGAAGAGGGATGGGAAGGGGGAAGGGGGAAGATTAGGCTCAAGGGAAGGAGGAAAGGAAAGGGATGAGCTAAGCTGTGCGAGGGGAGGATGGGATGGGAAGAAGAAGATAGCTACGGTTGAAGGTACAGAAAATAGGGTCAGAGGAGAGGTGGGCGTATAGATTGAGAGACTAATGCGTGGGAGGGAGATGTTACACCAGCATTGACAGTCAACGAGGGTCACACAGAGTCAACGACAGTCATAGATGTCGCCGCCTGCCTCTCCCGTTACGCCTGTCAACGACAGTCAAATACGCCTGCAGCATGATCCGTACCGACGCCGCCTGCCTCTCCCGCGCGAGTGCCACTCTCACGCGTCCCCTATGCGCGGCCTAGCTGGCTGACCTAACCATCGGTGATGCAACAACCCTAACCCTAAACCTAAACCTAAACCAGGACAGTGAGAGATTGAAGTTTGCAGCATGATTCGTACCGTCGCCATCTGCCTCTTCCGCCAGTGCCACTCCCACGCGCTTCCTCGTCTTTCCGCCTTCCCCCGATCCCCCTTCCGGGCCCCCATCCGCACCCGCCGCGCTCACACGTTTCCCCCCCTCTCCCCCGCGCACTTCAGCGCTCCCCTTGAGCGACGACTTGAGCGCAGACGGCTTCGGCGCAACTGCGCCAGCGCCTGCGCCGATTGCGCCGACTGCTCCGCCGCTGGGTTTGCGAGAGGCAGCAGGGGAAGGGATAGGGGGATTCGCTGGCTTGGGCGCTGCGGACGGCGGAGGCAAGTCGCCGAAGAGACTCATGGCGACGCGGCGTGTGGGGTTCGCAGCGAGGGGCGCGGATTGTGGGGCTCGTAGCGAGGGACGCGGCGGTGAAGGGACGAGGAAGGGGAAGGCGGAAGAGGAGAGGATTATTCGACGGTTATGGATGCGGGGGTGGAGGGAAGGCGGACGAAGAGACAGGCCGATGCGACTCGGATCGGGAAAAAGAAGGGCGAAATGAGGCGTCAGGTTCCGGGAGTGGCGAAAAGGAGTGCCGACGCAGAGGATTGAACTCTGGACCTTCTGTTTACAAGACAGATGCTCTACCACTGAGCTACACCGGCTTGCAATTGAATGCGTAAAAATTTATTAAAAACATAAATTGACAAAATTCGCCCTCCCTCTTCATTTTCCATGCGTCCAACACGGCGTCGCGCCATGCGCCATCGGCCACAGCACGCGTGTCGGCCAGCTACCCTCGCCTCTATTCCCGTCGCCATGCGCGCGTCGCGTAATCTCCTCCTAGTACCGCCCGATAGCCCGACAGCACACCGCTCCCGCAGCGCGCACAGTCCGAGATGAAATCAAATCAGCCGAGGCGCGTCGGCTCGCCACTCCCTCGTGTTCGCCCGTCGGCGCGCTGTCGCCCTCCCAAACGCCATAACTCCCCCCATATGCCGCCCCTTCCCCCCCTCGTCCTCCGCCGTTCGCTCACCCTCCACCGTTTGCTCATCTCCCCTTTCCGCCCTTTCTCCACGTCTTTCCGTCCTCGCCGCTTTACCACTCGATGCCTCTCCGAGAGATTCTCCCCTCAGCCGCCTTCCCCAACCGGCCGCTGACGGGGCGATGATACGCCGACTCCAGTGCCTCGACCCACCCTGGGGGCGACAACTTGCCGAAACTCTTGGAGACCATTCTTGTTCGTTGACTGGATGTGTTCACTGGTCCTGCTGCAGATAGAGAGTACGGGCCTTCCTTGAGAGTCTAGGCGCGGGCCACGTAGTACCAGGAACATCGGAGTATACTCTAGTACGACGCAGTAGTACGGCTCGGAGCGTCGGGCCGTCCGGCAGAGGGGGGCGCGAAGGAAGGGTCCGGAGTGGGCGATAGGGAAACCGCCGGACCGTTGGCGCAACCGCGGGACCATTGGCGCAACCGCGGGACCATTGGCGCAACCGCGACGTCCAGAAACCACAGAGGCCACTATGGCGTCCCATTTGCTGCTCGCGCCTCAAATATCGCCCCCTGCATCCCTTGCTTCTCGCGCTGCAGCAGCTGCAGCACGCGCGTCCTCTCCCGACCCACGGCACCGTCGCACCAGCAGCGTGCGATGCCGTCGCCCCGTGCTGCCGAGCTCGCGAGCTTTCGCACGGCCAGAGCTGAGCGGGCGACGGCGCGGCGAAATCCGCCCTGGCTCTGATCGGACGGCGGGGGTCGGTCGTGTGAGGGGCGGCGGTGGGCTAGCGGCGAGATGCCTGAGGGAGGGCGCGGAGGGGGGAGAGGAGAGAGCTGACGTGGCGGATGGGGGAAAGACTGCCCAGCTGGAAAAGTCGCCAGTGAGTCAGCTGAGTCCGTCTACAGTCAAGCATCTTCGCAGCACCTTCTCATGCCGGTCCACTCATCACTGCCTCACTCGAATCTAGCCCACCGTCCGCATATCCCATGGTCCCAACCCATCTCCTCCTCTCCCCTCCTGCCCCGGCACTTATTTCCTTCTCTCCGCCATCTCTCCTCCTTCCTCTCCCCCTCCCCCCCTCATGCCCTCATCCTCCCCCCTTTCCCCCCCCTTTCCCCCCTCCTTTCCCCCCTCCTCCCCCTCCCCCTTTCCCCCCTCTTTTCGCCCCTCCTCTCCCCCCCCTTTCCCCCCTCCTTGCCCCCTTCTTCCCGTCCTCCCCTCCCCCCTCCTCTCCACCCTCCTCTCCCCCCTCCTCTCCACCCTCCTCTCCCCCCTCCTCTCCCCCCTCCTCTCCCCCCTCCTCTCCCCCCTCCTCTCCCCCCTCCTCTCCCCCCTCCTCTCCCCCCTCCTTTCTCCCCTCCTTCCCCCCACAAACCCCCTGTGCAGCTGGCGGACGAATCCCTGGCTGCCACGTGTATTAACACCATTCGCATGCTGGTGGTGGACGCGGTCAACAACGTCAACGCGGGCCACCCGGGGTCCGCCATGGGCCTGGCGCCACTTGGCGCGCTGCTATTCGCCGAGGAGATGCACTTTGACCCCGCCGACCCCGCGTGGCCCAATAGGGATCGGTTTATCCTGAGCAACGGCCACGTGTGCCTGCTGCAGTACTGCCTGCTGCACCTCACGGGGTATAACATCCAGGTGAGTCTAAATATTCTGCCTTGTGCACTTGTTGTGCGTGCTGTATGTGCCATCTAGCGCTCATATGTAGCAACGTCCACGTGTGCCTGCTGCAGTACTGCGTGCTGCACGTGGCGGGGTACAACGTCCAGGTGAGAGTAACTATGCTGCGTGCAGCGCTTTTTGTATGTATGTGACCGGGCGTTCTATACAGATTCGACTAGCGGTCAGGGTTTCGGGTTTAGGGTCAACGGCTACAAGAGCCTGCTGCACGTGACAGGGTGCAATATCGGGGTGGTTTCCCCCTGTTCTGGACAAAAGGCATGCGTGGCTTGCTGGAAAGCTCCCGTTTCCTCCCTCCACCCCCCCCCCCCCCGCCCCCCCCTCCCACCCTGTTCCTTATCCCCGGCAGATGGAGGATCTGCGGGGAGCTCACCCGGGGCATAGAGCCCATGACGGCCCCTCTGGGGCACTGTCTCTCCCTCCCATCCCTCCCCCCCCGGCAGATGGAGGATCTTAAACAGCTGGCGAAGCTGGGCAGCAAGACGCCGGGGCACCCCGAAAACACGCTCACGCCGGGCATAGAGGTCACCACGGGCCCCCTGGGGCAGGGCTTTGCCAATGCGGTGGGGATGGCGGCTGCAGAGGCGCATCTGGCTGCTCGGCTGAACACAGCTGACTTCCCCGACCTCATTGACCACCACACGTGAGTGGGAGACGACTTTCTAGGCAGTCGGTTGACCACGGTTGACTGTAGTTGCCATGGTTACATCAACTGTCCAGGTTCTTTGTATCTGCTCATGTAACTTTCTCCTGCCCGCCCTGCTTCATACCCGTCCAGGTTCGTTTTATTCGGCGACGGGTGTGCGATGGAGGGCGTGGTGCAGGAAGCAGCGTCGCTGGCGGGCCACTGGGGGCTGGGCAAGCTGATCGCCTTCTATGACTCCAACCAGGTGCGCATGTCAGTGCTACTACTGGGTCAAATCAGGTCGAGCAAGTCAAACGGGTCGTAAAGAAACAGCAGCATCGCTGGCGGGCCACTGGGGGCTGGACAAACCGATCGCCTTCTATGACTCCAACCAGGTGCGCTTGACTGAACTTGGAGATTTGATTTGATGGCGGTGAGCTTTCTGAACCACTGAGCTCAGCTGCTTTTGTGCCTATTGCCCATTCCTAGTGCGTCGCATCGCCCATCCCCGCTCCTCCCTTGCCGTCCTGCCCTTCTCCTCTCGCCCCTTCCCTGCGCGCCCATGCTGTGCCCCATTCTTCTGCTGTCTCTCCACTCGGTCCCTTGGCGCTTTCCCTCATCCGCCAATCAGGTCACCATTGACGGCAGCACCTCCCTCGCTTTGTCCGAGGACGTGATCGGCCGGTTAGCCGCGCTGAGGTGGCACGTGCAGCGAGTCACGGTGCGCGACGCTGCTGACCTGGACGCGATCCGTGCAGCGATAAGGGAAGCCAAGAGGGAGACACAGCGGCCGTCGCTGATTCAAGTGGACACCGTCATCGGGTTCGGGTCGCCCAAGAGGCAGGGCACCAGTGCGGCTCATCACGGGGCGTTCGGCGAGGAAGAGACTAAGGCAATAAGAAAGGCGCTCCACTGGCCTTACAGCGAGCCGTTCACTGTACCCGACAAGGTGTACCAGTGAGTCTCTGCCTTGCAACGAGCTGCTCACTGCATGTGGGTTGCCGGTCAATGCTTTGTGCTGCACCCTCTCTGCCCGGTCACCCTCGCTGCTTCAGTCCCTGCGACATATTTATTAGTTCTGAAAAGCCCCCCACCCATCTCTCCCCCCCCCGCCCCCCCGTCCTCTCTCCTCCTTCCCTTCACCCATCTCCTCCTGCTATCCCCTGCCTGCTCTCTCTCCTCCTTCCCAACCGCCAATCAGAGCCATGCACCTGGCTGCTGCACGCGGCCAATCGGCAGCTGCTAGCTGGAGGGACCAGGCGGCGCACTACCGCCAGTGCCACCCAGACTGGGCGGCTCTTTTGGACGCACTCACGGTGCCTGGGCGGCTGCCAGCTGGCTGGGAGGATTCTTTACCGGTAATATTTTATTGGCCAGTCGTGGAGTGCGTCATATTGACGCTGGCACTGCCAGCTGCCTCATATTCAACCCCATTGCCTGTTTGCTTGGCCACAGAACTCCCTCCTGTCTCCTCCTCTCCTCTCCGCCCTTCTACTCCCTCATTTCTTCTGCTTATCCTCTCTCTTCCTCCCTCTTACTCCCCCCCACCAGTCCTTCTCCCCTTCCACGCCGCCCGACGCCACGAGGGGATACTCCGAGGCGTGCCTCAATGCGCTCGTGCACTCTCTGCCTAACCTTCTGGGCGGCAGCGCTGACCTGGCGTCCTCCAACAAGGTGAGGCAGCTGACGTGGCGCTGGGATCAAGAGCCCTGGCATGGCATGGCATGGGGACGCATCACACCCTTGCACCCTGCAAGGCGACTTTTGAGTCGACTCAAAAGACATGGCGCTGGGATCAAGAACCGTGGCATGGCATAGGGAGTAGCACACCCTTGCACCCCGCAAGGCCTTCATTGCAAAGTCAGCTCAGCGCCGCGCCACGACTCAGCGTCCCTCCTTCACTCACCTTTTGCTCCCTCCATCCCGCCCGCTCTGCATGCCGCTCGTCCTCCCAGGTGGCGTTCCACGGGCTGCCGGACTTCTCCCGGGGCTGCTTTGAGGGCAGAAATTTCCACTATGGCGTTAGGGAGCATGGCATGGCCGCCATAAGGTGGGCTGGCTTCCCTGCTGATGCCATCAGGTGAGGTAGCAGCATGGCGTGAGGCAAGCGTGCAGAACCTATATCCCGGATGATAGCTCGCTCATGTTGCCAGCTGAAGGCCCAAGGATGTTAAAAAACGAGATTGGGTGAAGGAACGTTGTACGGCTCTCGACCAACGGTTGTCATCTGGAATAGGTTCTGCAGGGTTGTCGTTCTCAAGGTTGTGCTCAACCCTTGGAACATTCTCCTGAACCCTTGTCGCGCCGCCCTCCCCTCCCCTTCCTCCAGCAACCCCTAGGAAAAGCTACCAAAAAGGAGAACTCATTTTTCTCTCTTATCACAAAAGCTACCGGACCTTTTCCCGCCACTCCTCCCTGGTTCTCCCCCACCCCTCTTTCAATCTTCCCCGGCCCCCCAATGCCCCCCCAGTAACGGGCTCGCCCTGCACTCACGGGCGCTCATCCCAGTGGCCGCCACCTTTCTCGTCTTTTCCGACTACATGCGGCCGGCTCTGCGCCTCGCCGCCCTCTCCGCCGCCCGGGTGCTCTTTGTCTTCACGCACGACTCCATTGGGCTGGGGGAGGACGGCCCCACGCATCAGGTGGGTGGGTTTTTTTGTCTCATTAGACGTGTCTTTGTCCTGCCAGCTGGTCTTATCCAGAGGTATTACCCATGTTTTCCCTGTCCCTTTTCCTCCTTCCCTCCATCCCCCCGCCACACACAGCCAGTGGAGCACCTCCCCTCGCTCCGAGCCATCCCCAACCTCCACGTCATCCGCCCGGGCAACGCCACGGAGACAGCTGGCGCCTACGTGGCGGCAGTGCGGCGCAGCGTGGGGCCCACGGCGATCTTGCTGTCGCGTCAGAAACTGACAGCTCAGCTTGAGGGGTCTAGCAGGGAGGGGGTGCTACGAGGGGGGTATGTACTGGGAGGGGGGGAAGGGGAAGGAGAGGAGGAAGGGGAGGAGGAGGGAGAGGGGCAGGAGAACGGAGGGAAGAGGGGAGATGGGGGAGGGGGGGAGGAGGAGGAGGTGGTGGATTGGATTTGATTTTGATTGCATCGGGGTCTGAGCTGGTGCTCTGCCAGGAAGCTGCTGAGAAGCTTCGTCTGGAAGGGTACAGGTGAGTGAGCCCAGCTGATTTTGCATTTGCATTTGTCTCTGTTCTTATGAGTCGACTCAAAAGTCGGCTCAAATCAACTCAAAATTGTTCACTCTCAATCTTTACAGCCGCTTCATAACCCCAACCTTCCCCCCCCCCATCTCCCCCCCCCCCCCCAACACCCTCACCACCAACACTTATCTGTGCCAATACACACTGGAAACGTTTCCCTTGTGCCCACACACTTAGGTTGTGTCGTTGGTCTGCTGGGAGCCCTTCAGGCAGCAACCTTGGGAGTACCGACACGAGTTAACTCTGCCCTTGCCACCTCCCCACTCCCCCCCCTCTCTCCCCCTCCCCCTCCCGTGTGCATGCCAGCAGGGTGCGGGTCGTGTCGCTGGTCTGCTGGGAGCTCTTCCAGCAGCAACCTCAGGAGTACCGAGATGCTGTGCTGCCGCCACATGTCACCAAGCGATTGGCTGTTGAGGCTGCGCGTTCCCAGGTAAGTTGTTTTGGCTTCATTTTGCTGCTTGTACAGCTCAGTGTGCTCCTCTCTCCCACATCCCCTTTCCTATTTTTTCCCCTTGCCTTCCTTAAGGCTCTGTCCCCTCTGGTGCGAGCGGGTAGGACTCGCTCTCCTCTCTTTTGAGTTAGACTGCTCAAATGTTCCAGTCCAGAGGCTCGTGTCTTTTTCCCTCCCCATTCTGTTGCTGCTGATCCACCGCTTGCTCAAATCCGCTAACTCTCTCACGCGCCAACTCTTCTCTCCCTCACAAACTCTCTCTCTCTCCCGTCCCTAACACATCGGTTGCCCTTGCCTCGCCCCCTACAGGGCTGGTGCGAGTGGGTGGGACCGCAGGGCTCTGTCCTCTCTGTTGAGCGATTCGGTGCCAGCGGCCACTACCTCGAGGTGTTCCACAAGTTCGGATTCACTGTAGAGAATATTGTGGAGCAGGCTTATAAGCTGTTAGGGAAGAGTTAAGTAGAAAGGCTACGTAGGGTAGGGAAGTCCTAGTAGGGTCAACAACGGTGCTTGGAAGGACAGTTTAAGGCGGTGCATAGCTCTGCCGATGGTGAAGCATGTTTTTGAATAACGGATGTGAATAGATTGTGGAAGCTCCCATCAAATCTAAGCACCTCAACCCACAACCCTCAATGTTTTCCTACAATACCTCCTAGCACCGTTCCGCTCTTCCTGCCTCACACGTTGAGCCCTGATGGATCACCTCGCCTGTAAACAAACTGCCTAGGCTCTTTTTTGTATCCACTGCTCGTGGTCTGAGTGTCGCTCACATGACCCGTTAGAGTGTGCTTCTAGGACCTCTTACCTCAGACCAGGGCTTCAGATTGGCTCAGGGTGCCCCCAGCAGGAACCCCCATTTTTCAGGGTCTGGTTTTGAAAGATGCATATTTTTCAGGGTAAAAAAATTTGAAGGCTGAAAGTTCAGGACTAAAGATTTACAGGCCTGACATGTTAGTGTTGAACTTCTGCATTTTTTTTTGGGTGGGTTTGCTTTTGACCTAGCACAATGTGTTAGACTGAACGTTGACTTGTTTGTTTCAATGTTTTCATGGTATACACTTGGTAGTTTAACAATTTTAGAAAAGCACAGCCTATGGTGCTGCTGCTGCTGCCTTTTGTGTTGACTTACTGCCGCATACTACTACTGATGCTGCCAGCCACTCTTGCTGCTAGAACTCTTACTGCTCTTCCTGCTGCACCCAACTGCTCCATGTGCTGCCGCTGCTGCTGCCGGTGTTGGTGTTGTTGCAGCTGACGCTGCTCCTGCTGCTGCTGTTGCTGCTGCTGCTGCTGCTGCTGGTCCACCTGCTACTCCTCGTCTTCGTCTGACTCACTTCCGCCGCTGCTGCACTCCTCCTCACCCTCTGATGCATACCAGAAATCCTCATCGACCTCTCCTCCACCAACCCCCCCTCCTCTCCCCTCCTTGTTCCCCTCCTCCAGCTCCTCTTCCACCTCCTCCACTGGCCCCTCATCCAACTCCTCCCCTGGCCCCTCCACCACCTTTTCTTTCCCCTTCAAGCTCTTCACCCGACCTCGGGGGTGGATGCGGGTGGAGAACTGCTTCCGCTTCTTCCCTCGAAACACCTTCACCACCTCCTCCCAATCAGGCTCGTAGTCGAGCAATGCCATGCTCATGAGGCTTTCGAGCGTGGCGTTTCCTAGGCTGCCTCGGCACCAGCTCTTGATGATGTTCTGCCGACTGAAGCCGCGCTCACACTCCACCGTAGACAGTGGCAGCACTGCGACCGCGACCCACAGGCGGCCCAGGTTCGGGAAGGCTTTTGTCCAGTCATCCGACTTCAGCATCGCCGCCAGCCCCTTCGTAGAACTTCCGCTCCCACACGGGAGCGCCTTTTAGTAGGGAGATGAGAGTCTGCAGCTCCCCAGTTGCCGCCCTCTTGTTAACACCTGCACAGAATCAGAGGGCGCAAGGGGAGGAGAATGCGTGGTATAGATGCAGGCCGTTAGTATGGGGATAAGGATGACACGCAGGCATGATGCATGGTTACAGCTGGGTTCATGCACGGTTAGCAACGGCTTACCTGGCAGAACCTCCCGACGCCCGGCTGCGCGGAAGAGGTCGAACAAGCTCTGCAGCCAGTCCATGCACTGGCTGTTCCGCTCCTTCCTCCCTGGCGGCCATGCTTCCGGGGTGAAGAGCCTGCACCCGTTGAGCTTCTCCAGGTCGCCCAGCCGCTCAACAATGTTCTGCTCAGTCGCCTTGGCGAATCTCATGCAGATGACGTCGCCGCCTTGATATAGACGACGGTCCTCCGAATAAGGCCCTGGACGACCGTCAACTCGACCTGTGGTAGGAGAGGGCTTGGGCAGATACCTCAGGGAGACACACGATTAGACAAACATAATAGGACCATGCAAGGAACCAACCTGGCGGGCTTGGAATTTTTTGTTGTGGCTGTTCAGTAAGCCAAGCATGTCAGCCAGAAAGTAGAGGAAAAAGTGAAACTTGTAGCTTTTTACGATGTTATACATCTCTTGGTCATACTCAAGAAGTAGAATGACCACAGCTGGTAGCTCGTCGACAAGGCGGGCGATCGCCTCACCTCGAGATAGCCAGCGTATATTGAAAATACCATGCATCTCGAGGTTCGTCTGGGTGAAGACGTCTTGGAGGTTGTTGAAGCGTGCGTGCTAGTTTCCAGAGCGACCCAGCAACTCAGCAACGGTCCGGATGAGCTTGTCGACCACTGCTAGCTCTAGAACGGCGGTTGCAGCATCCTTCGCAGCGAGGGCCTCCTTGCGTACACAGCAGAAACAGCAGAAGCATCAGCGTTGTGATCAAACAGTAGCTGGAGAGGCACAGCGAGTACAGACACCAGAGTCGTCAGAAGTCATGGTCTGGTAACGGGAAGTGAGAGGCAAACACATGCACCGTGGCTCACCTGTGAGCTATGCAGTGGCAGGACACCAGCCACGGTGACATGGCACGCATGCGAGTGACGAGGCCGGTGTTGGAGCCCATCATGACAGCAGCCCCATCCGTGCTGATGCCGGCAATCTTGTTGGGGTGCACGCCAATCTTGGCTAGATGTTCCTGGATGAGAGCATGAATAGATGCTGCATCGCACTGTTCCAGTGTTAGCAAGGCATTGAACTCAGTCACAACATGCCCATCACGGAGAAATGTTACAAACAGAATCAAGTGTTTCCCTCGAGTGCGGTCAGTCGACTCGTCGCAACTCAGCCCAATGAAGGGACTCGAGTGAATGTGGCATAGCTGAGAAGCATGAAGCCAGTTTGACAGAGACTGCATCAGTTGCGCAAAGCCGTACCTGCATGGGGTGTAGAGCTCACCACGTGAGACAAGGCATTCGTAGGCATAAGTGAGGAGCGGGCAAAAACATTCACGTCATAAACTAACGAGGTATAGTAGGTTCCGTAGCTCTTTTTTGGAAAGTCGGGGCACTTCCGCTTCGCTAGGAAGCAGACGAGCTTCACCCAAGTGTTGATCGGCGCGTCGCACTAGCAGATGAAATGCAGGACCCACAGCAGGGCGATGAGTCGTCCCTTCTCGAGATCTTGGGCCTGTGGGAAGTCTGATATCTTCTTCTGCTTCTGAGCGTCTTCCATGGCCTTCCTCTTCGCCTTGATGCATGCCTTGTGCCGTGTTGACCGGCCATGCCTCTTCATAGCCTGTGTCTGCACGTCAACTGTGCCCTCCCCATCTCGACCATATTTGGTGCCCAAGACGCCATGATCTGTACACACACTACATCGCAGGGATGGAAGGCCATTTTTAGTACGACATAGGAGCAACCAAGGAAACCGCTCTTGCCAGTCTGACTTGAAATTTTGCAGAGCTTGAAGATACAACAAGTCAGCAGCCTCTCTTAATTCCTCATCAGCGGTGGCTGACGACTGGATGCGCGACTCTAGTGGTGTTGTAGTAGAAGGGCCGGCCACTGGAGTCGCACTCGTTGGCGTAGTTGACGCGGCACCGCCTGCCGACTGCTCGGCATGACGTGTTGTCGTTGCCGGAGAGGCTGCATCCACCAGTGGAGCACATGACGGCTTGTGCCTCCGTGATTGAACGGTGGCACGAGCTGTGGAGAACGTGATGGCGGCAGGATGTTTGTCGACGGTCGTCGGAAGCCGAAACGACAGCAACGCTTGACGGTACGTTCGTTTCCGGGGAGAATTAGGCGCACCGCGATCTGCTCCACTACCGCCATCACCGGCCGCTCTGACTGCCTGCCCTGCGTCGCCTTCTGGGCTGCGAGGGTGGGGCGGCACACGGCCAGCATCACCACCCGGGCTACGTGGGATCAGGGAGAATTGCGGAGCATCGTGAGCCGGAGAGCGGGGCAGCGGCGACCAGCCAGCGTTGTCACGCACAGGGCTGCGCACAAGCGTGAACCCACGTGCAGCCTCGGCAGAAGGGATGCAAATGCAGGGAGAGGAGACTGAAGCCACCACCGGCAGGCTGTATATGCGAGGAGAAGAGCGCGCAGACTCGCGTGCAGGACTGCGCATGACGGGTGACGCGCGGCCAGTGTTAATCGCGGGGCTCTGAGGCGTAGTAGACGCAACAGCAGATCTACGCTGCGGACTGCTAGGCAGGGGAGGGAAAGGGTCGATACGAGTATCGGCGACACTCCACACGGCGCCTTGCCTTGCAGGGGGCACAAGAACATCCAGCGCTGACTGTGTTACAGGCAGGGCACTGGCTTGCCCTGCGGCCTCCTTGCTGCTGCGCCGTTTTGAGCCTTGCACCTGCCATCCCTCATCGTCGCTCATGGTGTGAGATGGTGAGTGAGAGACGGTCGAGCAGGTGGTGCAGAGAGACGACACATAGCAGCTAGCGAAGGTGGGGCAAAAAAACTGAGTGAGCTACAAGCCTTTTGCTACGTTTGCCCGCACCGCAAGAAAGCGATGTACCAGGAGGAGCATGCTCGAATGGGACGAGGAGGGGTTGAGTGGTGGTCGCACGCACCACGCGATACGGTGTTGCAGCGTGCATGCCAGCTTGATCGAAAGATGGGTGCATCGTCGTCGGCCTGGCAGGTAGCGGGTGCTCAGTAGTAACACGACACGACCCCCGATTGGTTTGTAATCCCCTGACTTCGCCCTAGACCAATCCTGCTCCTAACAGCTGTTCCAGCACACCCTCTGCTCCACGAAGCTGCTTGTAATTTTGACTAGGGACCAATCACCAGCCTCCTCTCACGTGCTCTTTGACGAGGGATGTGTTTTTGGTTAAGGACCAATCACGCCCCTCACACGTGCTCCATAACACACCCCATTCCAGCCGCGATTGTCGGGGGGGGGGGGGGGTTTACCGAAAAGACTCTGTTTCAGGCTGAAAATCCGTTAAGGCTGATAATTCAGGGTGACCAAAACAAGAACATACTAAAATTCAGGCCTGCTCAAATGAGAACCCCTAAAATTCAGGCCAAGGGAAAATCAAAAGCTGAAAAAACAAGACGACCCTAAAAAAACACCCTGATATACAGCATTTCAGGGCATTTTGTCCTGACTTCTGAAGCCCTGCCTCAAACGTGGTACCTCTTTTCAGACTTGTGTTGCACCGTTCCCAACCACAATGAACCAGCTCCTGTGAAAATTGCTTTGTTCA